ACACACACACACACACAGAGCAGATGACGGGGGAGGAGATCCCACAAGAATTGAATATGAGATCCCTCAGACATGAGCTGTCCCGATTGGCTGGCTGTGCAGGATCTCCCCCTGGTCACATGACCTCATACTCACCACTCCGTGTACTAGGAACTCAAACAATTTACTCTTGGTGGCTCTGCGAGCTCCTCCTCCTGCGGCTTCCTCAGCTGCCATGTCCAGGATGCCCCTCCCCCTCCCCTCCCCCAGGTCCCTACACAGTGACAACAGACGTCAGTAGGGAGCGGCCTACTGCGAGTACAGTCAGTAGGGAGCGGCCTCCTGGGAGTACAGTCAGTAGGGAGCGGTCTCCTGTGAGTACAGGCAGTATGGAGCGGTCTCCTGGGAGTACAGGCAGTAGGGAGCGGTCTCCTGGGAGTACAGGCAGTAGGGAGCAGTCTCCTGGGAGTACAGGCAGTAGGGAGCAGTCTCCTGGGAGTACAGGCAGTAGGGAGCAGTCTCCTGGGAGGACAGGCAGTAGGGAGCAGTCTCCTGGGAGGACAGGCAGTAGGGAGCGGTCTCCTGGAGTACAGGCAGTAGGGAGCGGTCTCCTGGGAGGACAGGCAGTAGGGAACGGTCTCCTGGGAGGACAGGCAGTAGGGAGTAGTCTCCTGGAGTACAGACAGTAGGGAGCAGTCTCCTGGGAGTACAGGCAGTAGGGAGCAGTCTCCTGGGAGGACAGGCAGTAGGGAGCGGTCTCCTGGAGTACAGGCAGTAGGGAGCGTTCTCCTGGGAGGACAGGCAGTAGGGAGCAGTCTCCTGGGAGGACAGGCAGTAGGGAGTGGTCTCCTGGAGTACAGGCAGTAGGGAGCGGTCTCCTGGGAGGACAGGCAGTAGGGAACGGTCTCCTGGGAGGACAGGCAGTAGGGAGTAGTCTCCTGGAGTACAGACAGTAGGGAGCAGTCTCCTGGGAGTACAGGCAGTAGGGAGCAGTCTCCTGGGAGGACAGGCAGTAGGGAGCGGTCTCCTGGAGTACAGGCAGTAGGGAGCGTTCTCCTGGGAGGACAGGCAGTAGGGAGCGTTCTCCTGGGAGGACAGGCAGTAGGGAGCAGTCTCCTGGGAGTACAGGCAGTAGGGAGCAGTCTCCTGGGAGTACAGGCAGTAGGGAGCAGTCTCCTGAATGTTTCAGGTTTGTTGCTCTTTGTTTTCAGTAGTTGAACGATCCGTCCGGCGTCTTATCTCCCTCCTCCCCTGTGCGGTCTGTCTCTTCTAGTCCTCGGTGTCTCTGTGTCTGGGGGTCCCCGAGGGCTGCGCTGAGGGCCCACGCTCCCCCCTCCAGCTGCTGAATTCCTTCCACTGATAAGCCCGGAATAGAAGCCGAGCCTCCGAGTGTCCCCGCAGCTGTCCCCGTCTGTCTGCCGTCCAGCTGTCCCCGTCCTTCCTCCTCCATGCTGTCCCCGTCCTTCCTCCTCCATGCTGTCCCCGTCCTTCCTCCTCCATGCTGTCCCCGTCCTTCCTCCTCCATGCTGTCCCCGTCCTTCCTCCTCCATGCTGTTTCCGTCCCTATTCCTCCATGCTGTCCCCGTCCTTCCTCCTCCATGCTGTCCCCGTCCTTCCTCCTCCATGCTGTCCCCGTCCTTCCTCCTCCATGCTGTCCCCGTCCTTCCTCCTCCATGCTGTCCCCGTCCTTCCTCCTCCATGCTGTCCCCGTCCTCCTCCATGCTGTCCCCGTCCTCCTCAATGCTGTCCCTGTCCTTCCTCCTCCATGCTGTCCCTGTCCTTCCTCCTCCATGCTGTCCTCCATATTGAGGGCCGATCCGTCACACTGGGTCTCTATGGTATGACACACGCCAGGAAGGTCTGTCTGGGTGTTACGTGTACATATAACATACATGTTCTGGTCTGTAGTCAGTCACATGGCCCCTCCATCGGGCTCTTCACTGGCCACCTGCTGATTCCGCACAGACTCCAATGACCCTTCCACAGGAGATCCCACCAGAGGTGACCAGTCCACAGGAGATCCCACCAGAGGTGACCAGTCCACAGGAGATCCCACCAGAGGTGACCAGTCCACAGGAGATCCCACCAGAGGTGACCCTTCCACAGGAGATCCCACCAGAGGTGACCCTTCCACAGGAGATCCCACCAGAGGTGACCAGTCTACCGGAGAGCCCACCAGAGGCGACCCTTCCACACGAGATCCCACCAGAGGTGACCCTTCCACACGAGATCCCACCAGAGGTGACCAGTCCACAGGGAATCCCACCAGAGGTGACCAGTCTACAGGAGATCCCACCAGAGGTGACCCTTCCACAGGAGATCCCACCAGAGGTGACCCTTCCACAGGAGATCGCACCAGAGGTGACCAGTCCACCAGAGGTGACCCTTCCACACGAGATCCCACCAGAGGTGACCCATCCGCAGGAGATCCCACCAGAGGTGACCCTTCAGCAGGAGATCCCACCAGAGGTGACCCTTCAACAGGAGATCCCACCAGAGGTGACCCTTCCACAGGAGATCCCACCAGAGGTGACCCTTCCACAGGAGATCCCACCAGAG